GAAAAAGGAAAGGAAGATTATGTGTGCAAGCTGAATAGGTCTTTGTATGGCCTGGAATAATCTCCTCGACAATGGAATAAAAGATTTGACAAGTTCATGACACATATAGGTTTCACTAGAAGCCAATTCGACTATTGTGTTTACTTCAGATTTTGATCTGGAAATTCACTTGTTATTTTATTGATTTATGTGGATGACATCCTCATATCAAGAACCATTGTCGAGGATGTTATGAAGATGAAGGCTAAAATCAATAAGGAGTTTGACATGAAGGATTTGGGAGCTGTATAAAAAATTCTAGGGATTGACATCTGAAGAGATAGAAAGCAGTCGAGATTATGCTTATCTCAAGAGACATACTTGAATAAGATTCTCGACAAGTTTTGTATGTCGAATTCAAAGCATGTTCTAACACCAACTAATCCTCAATACAAGCTAAGTACGACTTAAAGTCCTAGTACTGAAGTCGAAAGAACCTATATGAATAGCATTCCATATGCTAGTATAGTAGGTTCTTTGATGTATTCTATGGTATGTACGAGGCCATACATAGCATACGAAGTGAGCCTTGTAAGCAAGTATATGGTCAATCCTAGGAAGGTGCACTAGAAAGCATTAAAGTGGATTCTAAGGTACATAAATGAGCCTCTAAGCAGAGTCCTGATTTATGGTGGAGCCTCTGGTGATGATATCAAAGTCAAAATTGAAGGATTTGTTGACTCTGATTTTGCAGGTTATATGGATTCCGAAAAATCTATTTTTGGATATGTGTTCACTATGTTTGTCACATCAATCAGTTGAAAAGCAACACTTCAGAAGGTTGTTGCCTTGTCAGTCACTGAAGCGAAATATATTATTCTCACAGAAGTTGTGAAAGAAGCATCAAGGCTTGAAGGTTTTGCTAAGAAGCTGAAACTTTAAGATCGAGTTATCACTATTAAATGTGATAGTCAAAGTGCAATACACTTGTTCAGCCTATCATGAGCGAACCAAGCACATCGATGTTTTGACTGATGACAATGCTGCTGATATGATCACCAAGATATTATTCAGTAGCAAGTTACTCCACTGTATGCAGTTGAAAAATTTGCATGATAAAAACTAGTTTATTCCCTTGTTAGTGTAGAGTTTGTTCTAAGGTGGAGATTTATGGTATTTTGATTGAACTCTAGTATTGATAGGGATAACTTAATGGTTCGACAGGAGTTGTGCATGATGTAGTCGAAGTGTGTTCAAGCATGCTATCGAAATATGCTTTGTTTAAAGCATGTCGAGTCGGATCTTGCTTGTAAGCCCAATTGTCGAGTTAGTTTGTAGCCTAAGTTAGCTTAGTAGTTGATAAATAGACTAGTTCTATTAGGTTGTCGGGAGATGTTAATTATTGTTATTCACTTGTAATCTTTGAACTCTTATTAAGTAAGTGAATAATAAAGCAATTTTAACCAATTCTTCTTCTTCTTCTTCTTCTTCTTCTTCTTCTTCTTCTTCTTCTTCTTCTTCTCTCTTTCGTAAAATCTAATAGGATTTCTTGTGTTTGTTCAAGAAACTCAATCTTTCTCTTATCTTTGGTTTGTTCTTGACGACATCAATTCATCAATTCATAACGCTTTTCATTTACAATAGTGACCATATAGAGTATAATAAAAACATCAACAATACTATTTTAAAAAAGAACACTCATATTTCAACGACAAAATCAAATAAACTTTTACATTCCCATTAATAAAAATTAAAATGATTAAGCTAATATAAAAACTATCAATTTTAACCCTTTATTCATTAGATAACTAAAGTTCGATAAAATAGACATAAATTATATAAAACCATTGAAAAATTTATTTCATAATAATTACAAAAAAAATTTAAATTTGTTTAACACGAAAAATTAATACATATGTTTAACGATTTAAAATTAATTATCTAAATCAAAGGTAAGTATTAAAAAAATAAAACAATGCCAGTCTAAATTTACAAACATGTATTTTCTTTCCAAATAAAAAATATAATTTATATATTTTTAATTTATATCATTGTTTCAACTATAATTTACAATAAATTATTATAATATAAATTTAATGATCATATTATGTCAAAACAAATTTTAATATATTTAAAATTTAATTAAAAAAAAAGAAGCTATTTATACCCGCACAATGCATGAGTCTTCATCTAGTACGTATTAATTTTTAAAATTTTCAAATTGTATTATGTTAATCATGTTTTTTTTTGTTAGTGATAATAAAAGTTAGTTGTTAAATTCATTGCTAATTAAACCAAAAAAACTAATAGAATATATTTTGAAGAGTTAAAAATTAATATAGATTTTTTTTTTATAATTAGGAGACCAAAATGAACTTCCATATTAACATGGAAGATAAAAAAAATATTAAACTAAATTTAAATGATCAACTTGAATAGCATTCATCTAGCTACAATGATCAATAATATAGCCAAGTTATTTACAATGGTCACATTTGGAATAAGGTATGAAGTCAGATAATCCTCCTTAAATATTATTCTGATGGTTGTCAAATGACGTAAGGTCAACAATGTTGGTTTTGTTATAGTAGAGAGATTAAGAAAATTGAAATTACTATATTTTTATTCATGACAGCCAAAACACTTATAGTGTTTTCAAAAGTAAAATTAACTACCACCACGTTAGGAACATGGGGTAACGGATTAGACTTGCTCCTAAAATTTAGGATCCACTAATTGACTAAAATAAAATTGAAACAATAATGATAAATAAAAGACTTAATGCAGTCCAAAAGCAAATAATTAACGCTCCTCATTGCTTTAGGATATGCAAACTCCAATTTTCTGCCTCAATAGCTCAAACTTGCTGACAGGAAGTGGCTTTGTGAATAAATCTGTCCATTGATCTTCTGACATGCAATAAACCAAAGTCACTTCTCCATTTTGTTGCATCTCTCTTAAGAAGTAGAGCTTGATGTTAAAATGTTTAGTCTTGCCATGACACACTAGATCCTTTGAAATTGCAATTGCTGCCTGGTTGTCGATAAACACTTTTGTCTTATAATTCTGTTGGAGATGTAAGTCACATAAGATTTTTTTCAGCCACAAAACTTGATTTACGGCTGCTCTTGCTGCTATGAATTCAGATTCTGCAGTGGATTGTGCTACTGTCTCCTGCTTCTTTGTGCACCATGAAAAAACTCTTGAGCCTAGACTGAAACAATATCCTGAAGTGCTCTTCATGTCATCAATGGATCCAGCCCAGTCACTATCTGAGAATCCACATAACTTGAAATTTTGACAGCTCTCAAACTTGACACCATAATCAACAGTACCTTTAATATATCTCAATACTCTTCTTGCTGCATTTAAATGCATTTCACTAACACAATACATAAATCGAGAGAGAAGACTTACAGCAAACAGAATGTCCGACCTTGTTGCAGTGAGATACATTAAACATCCAATCAAGCTCCTGTAATAGTCTTCATCAACTTTGTCAACACCATCTTCCTTGCTCAGCTTCTCCTTTTGGTTCATTGGTGTGCTAACCGCTTTGCACTCCTCCATTTGAAATTTTTTTAAGATTTCCTTAGCATATTTTTTTGACATATGAACACATCATCCTCATTTTGTTTGATCTCAATTCCAAGAAAATAAGACATAAGACCAAGATCCGTCATTTAAAAAACTTGCATCATTTCTTGTTTAAATTCTTCAATCAACCTGGTATCATCTCCCGTCACTAAAACATCATCAACATAGAGGGAAACTATGAGAAAATTTTTTCCCTTATGTTTTACATAAAGAGTGGCCTCAGATAAGCTTTTCACAAAGTCTATACTCAGTAGGTGTTCATTTATCCTACTGTACCAAGCTCTTGGTGCTTGTTTTAATCCATAAAGGACTTTTTTGAGTAGATAGACTTTATCTTCTTCACCATGCATAACAAATCTCTCTGTCTGCTCCACATATATCTCTTCTTATAAAACTCCATTTAAAAAGGCTGATTGATAGTGGTTGTACAAACCACATGACATATGATAAAACTATCTTCAAAGATTTGAAGCCTGTAAAATTCTCAAAAGTCAAAATTAGGAATGGTGACTATATTTCTGCAAAAGGAAAAAGAACCATTGTAATTTCAACTAGCTCAGGTATGAAAACAATCTCAGATGTTTTGTATGTGCCTGACATTGACCAAAATCTGCTTAGTGTGGGTCAATTGTTAGAAAAGGGATTTAAAGTTCTTTTCGAAAGTCAACATTGTCTTATCTTTGACACTACCGGTCGGGAGATTTTAAGGGTAAAAATGAGAGGTAAAAGCTTCTCATTTGATCAAATTCTGGAGGAGCAGACAACATACATCACTCAAGTTAGTCGCACTGAACTCTCGCATAAGCGCCTTGGTCACTGTCATATTCAAAGGATGCTGAACATGAAGAGGAAAGATATGATTGAAGGTCTATCAGTACTTTCTGATCATTTGCCAAATGTAATGCCTGTCAATTTGGTAAACAAAACAGAGTGTCATTTCCCAAAACAGTTTGGAGAGCCTCTCAAAAACTGCAACTCATTCACACTGATGTGGCAGGACCTCAAAGAACTCAATTGTTACAAGGTAGTCTATACTTTATTCTTTTCATAAATGATTTTACAAGAATGTGCTGGATTATCACCTGATTCAGGGCGCAATAAGAGATGAAGAAGAATAACAAATTAAATAAACACATTCTAAACAATGAAAGAATCCAAAAATTTGATCGTGAATAGCAAAGTACTTATGAGGCAAACCATAAAGAGCAATGAGCACGAAGAAGTTGTTGCACTGAGCATATGCCTTCTATTGTTTAACGAATGTGCTTCCGATATGAGGTACCAATACAAAATACAAACATTGGACATAATCTAATAAGTTTGATAGTTCTATTATAATCCTCAACAGAAAATAGACATATAAATGTCATAATGGTAAAGCACTTCATTAAGAACGAACTAAAAAGTAATTAATAGACCAAAATCTATACATTAGCCGCAACAAGTTGGAACCACTGGCTCATAGGATCATCAAGACAAAGAGAATCATCATGAATGCAGATACATTTCGAACTCACAACAACAGATGAATTTGAATCCTTATGCAAGCAAAGTTCTTTCCCACTTTTGTCAATAGTGGCCAAATGAAGTTTTGAAAGTGATGCTGTTTTCCATGAGCTGTTCTTGCTTTTACAATCATCAGATACAGAAACTGGAAGCCCTTCACCAGAAGCAGATAAGCACTTTATAGAGTCACTCAAAAAGATTTGAGAACCATTATAGCTCCATCTCTTTTGATTCTCACAGTTACCAATTTCAATTTCATTGTTTTCATTGACTTGTGCACATTGACCTGTTAAAGGATGGTACATCATGTATTCATTGCAGTTTTTGGATGTAGGATCTGCATTTAGAAACACAAGAAAAATTCAATTCAAATCAACATTGTCACGAACTCTCTGACAGACACGATATGATAGACACTACAGATACTCTAACATTGGTAATGTCAAAAACATATGATATCTCTTTTGAAAATATTTGTATAAATTGTCCGACATGTACTGTACGAGTGTCATATAAGTGTCAGATATCAATTTAAAAAGTGTCGAAGTAAAGGAGATAAATCTTTTATTTGGAGACATTTGTCTAACTTTTTCGACATATGACTGACTTTTTCGACATTCATCTGCAAAATTAATACTATTAACCACATTTGGATGTGATTCTCCGCAATAACAAAGATAGCAAAATAACTTGTAACCGCAGTTTAAAATCCTGGATGCAATATAGATAATAAAACTATGTTATATTAATATTCTCACCTTGATTCTTTCGTTGTAAAAGTTGAAACTTGTCTGTGAAATTAGAGTATCTAAGTTTATGCCAAGTAGAATCTAAAACACCAAATGATTCATCAAGATGAACTTTATCTTCTCTAAGATAATATCCCCCATGAAAAGCCCACAAACCCCAATCCATGTCTCTTCCAACAAGATAGGTTTGAAGACATGTCAAAAACCTATTATCTTCCGTCGTAGAACCAGTTTGATCAAATCCAAACTCAGTAAAGATCAAAGGAACTGCATTCTCACCGGTCATAAGAAATCCAGCTCTTTCATCTAACCCTTCAATAATATTTCCACATATTCTATTTAATGGTTGTTTTGTCCAAATCCCTTTCAATTTCAGTGTTCCAATCCCAGACCATGAATACAAATGTGTCTCAAACACCATTTTCTTACCTAAATCTATGTTGATTGGTTTCTTCTTTAAAAACTGTAACTCAGTATCATAGTTTAAACCTGAGATAACAACAAGCACTTTAGGGTTTGTTTTATGGATTGCTAATGCTCCTTTACTCATATACTCGTACCAATCTCTTTGATTTTGCCGCGGACCGTGTAATTCATTCCTCAAACTCATCGCCACAATCTGTTTATCGATTAAAAAGAAATCAAAGTTAAATCATATCGAAATAGAAGACAAACAAACAATAAAGTGCACCTGTATGTAAAATTAAAACTCAAGATAAGAGTAAAAAGGAGGTCGAGAATATACATACAGCATGATGTTTATGAAAGTGTTTTGCTGCCAAAGTAAGTCCACGAATCCATTCTTGAGGATCGAAATGTCTATCATGAAAGAAACCATTCTCATCATCATCATCACAACACCATTTAGCTTCACTAACATGATTATCAAGCAAAACATTAACCTTCTGCGAGCTAAACTCAACCACAACAGCATCAAAAGCTTCAATATGAGTCATGTTCAAAACCGAAGGATTATTCTTAGAAATACCATCCACAACCTCAGGTAGATCTAGATCATTCAAAGTATCCTTAACAATGCGATTTCCATGTCTCGTCCACATGTAAATCGCGTAGGTTAATCTCACACAATTGAAATTGTTTTTCACAAGCTCGCGAACTAGTTCTTTTATCGGTCTTCTATCTAGACCTTCCGGGATCATTGGTTGAAGGTGACCAGCCCAGTTTCCGCAAACAAGTTTCACACGTGAATGTGTTGAATCGTCTATGATCCATCTTGATTGTGTTGATAGAGGATAAGCGTTTGCATGTTTTGATGATGAATGTAATGAAGATATGACAACAATGACAACAAGAAACAATTGCCGAAAAGCTTTTGTGAGCATCTTGAGTTTATCACTGGAACTGAGTTGATTTGTTTATTTTATTTCATTTGAAAATTATCATATGCAACAGTGTTTATATAGACAGAAAACAAAAAAAATTTAGAACAAATTTAAGAGATTAATTAATATATTATCACTGTATGCACAATCAATTTATAGTTTGTTTTATTTTATAAGTAATTAAAATAAAAATTAAATTCTTCTTAATATTTAATGATTATAATTAACTGATAGTACAAAATACAGTGTATTTTAATTAAATTAAAAATTTAAAGAATAATTTGTTATGTGTTCGTCTCTATCCAAATCTTTTACTATAATTAGACAAACATTTTAGTTGATTTATTCATCTTTTTCTTTTTCTATCTTTAGGAGTTGATTTACAAATAAATTGTATCATATCCCTCAGATTTCCTTCTATATTTCAATTAATATATAATTTGACGTGACAAAATTTTAGACTATGATATTTCAATCGATTTTACATTCTTTATATAGTGTCTTGTTTATAAATTTAACTTTAATTATAGTTAATATATTTTATTTTGATAAATATGATTAATAAGCTTATATTTATAATATTTATTTTAAACTACACATTTAGTATTAAATCAAATAAAATAAATATAAATATGTTAAAATTTTTAAAAATAAATTCCTTCCATTTTGTATTCGCATAGTTTCAAATATATTTAATTTTTTCAAAGTGAATTTATGTAACTATTGAAATAATTTATTAGAAAAGTTTTAGAAATATATACATAAGAGTTTAAAAACATTATGTTAAATTCAAACACTTGAAATATATACCATAATTTGAGATGATATTATATATAAAAAAAAGCTAATCCTTAAATTTTATAATTATAATTAATAATATAAATTTATGGTATGAACTAAATAAAGAATGAGAATGAATTTTAAATTGTATAAATATAATGAAGAAATGTAATGCACATTTGAATTTATATTTAATTTAGAATATATGTTTTTAAGAATGAAGAAAATGCATATATTATATATGTTTTGGAAAAAATATAAATTAAAAAAAAATGAAAGTACACAAACAAAATTTTATAAATGTAAGTTTATTGTGATCATATTATAATAAAAAGTTTGATTTTATATTTGTTATTAGTGATAAGTATATATATATATTATATATATATATATATATATATATATATATATATATATATATATATATATATATATATATATATATATATATATATATATATATATATATATATATATATATATATATATATATATATATATATATATATATATATATATATATATATATATATATATATATATATATATATATATATATATATATATATATATATATATTAATTGATGTAGTAAAATAAATGTACATGACATATGATATATCGTGATATAATTTACTGCTTTAGTTGTGATATAATCTACTGTTTTGGATTTAGTATATTATAGTAGATATTAGAGATTGAAAGATTGTACAAATAAAAATCATTAATATATCGTATTAAAGATTGAAATTTTCTATCTTACAAATACTAATTTCAGTATGATTGTGAATATGTTTCATTAGATGAGTCCTTAATAAAGGCTTTAGTACGTTTTTTTTTGTGTTAATGTTTTTTTACATCATTGTTTTCTATATTGGCTATGCAATTTAATGATTAGTTAAATTAGTTGAATAAGCTTTGTGATTATTGATATTTTTGATATTTTCTATTGTTTATTTTTTATGGTAACCAAAATTGAATTGGACGAGTCACTTTAAGTTGGATTGCGAATCAGAATTCTAATTGATTTATTTGAGTTTTTAATTTGTTACCTCTTAAATTATATCTGACATCTCTCATATTTTTATATTGTTAAAACTTTTCCGAATTGAAATTGGTCTGAATTTTCGTTCGAAAATTTCGGTAGACTAAATAAAAGTTTCGATACAAATCTAAATTTTCGATAGTACATTGTAAATTTCCGATATGTTTTAATAAATTTTAGAAATTTGAAATTCACTAGTTGATATTAGAAATTTCAACTTAAGTGAAATTTTCGATAGTGTTATTTCTTTGATTTTTGGACGCTCAAGATTTTGTCGACTGTTTTGGATGGCTGTGATTGCACCAATAATATTATGTGGTTCAGAGTAAATGCAAACTTGTATAAATAAGGGGTCACGTATTGTTTGATAAAAATATCTATAAAAATACCTCTTCCTCAATTTTTGATTAGGACAGAAGTGTATTTCAACGGAGCTTCACCTCCCGTGGAGTTCTGACTTCCGGATGGCACCGCATCTCTCGCTGGACTAACATCCAAGTTGAATGAATTGTTGCCTGATGCCAAGAGCAGAAAGGTGAGAAAGATAGAGTTTCTTGAATATTGGATTCATGCTGACGAAAGGGTAAAATGCAACCTTATTGAGTTGAAGACCGACAGAGATGTGAAGGATATGTGGAAGTCATTTCGCCGTAGGATAACAAAGGGGAGAATCAAGTTAGATGCTAAGATTTTAAGATCTGTTGACGACATAATGAAGATGTTGAAACGTACAGAATCATCCGGTAGTGTCTAGGTTTTCTAATTTATTATCGTTTTTTAAGTTATGTAATCAATTATCAAATGTTAGTTAATGTTAATGTTGCACCAATGGAAGATCAAAAATATTATGTCTAATGACGAAGATGTATGAATAATATACAAATAATACTGATCTTACCTGATCATAAAGGGATTAGTAGTCTGCCACGCGTCGTGAGCTCCGGTATTCACCAGTGTTGTTGAGGAAGAGGGGATGTACCTGCAAGGTACTCCGATGCTTAAGTGAGTAACGAAGTTTAGAAAGAGAGCAAGTACAGAGAAAATAGGTGTAGAGAATAAGATACACGACCCTCTAGTGAAAGAGGGTATTTATAATATGCCCCCAGCGCAGGGCCAACGATTATATTACATTGGGCCGGATTGCCAAACCCAACACAAGCAACTGCCAGGACTTACATGGCATAGTGAAGACTGGCACGTGGTCTTCGCCCTGGATTAACTGCCCCGTGATCTTCGGAAGATGGGATGACTATCTCTTTCGGAAGCAGGTAGTTTCCTGATGACATGTCCCCATGTGGAGGACGTGGGGGAAGCACGTAGGCTCTCCCCGCGTCAAGTAGTGGTCTGCCCGACTAAGAGGCCTTGTTCAGAAGCGTGCCCGACATAGGAGGATTGGGCTTTGTTGGGCCTCCCCAAAGTAGCATTGGGTTGGGCCTGCTCAACTGAGGGGAAGGTCTTGGCCCAGTCCAGAACAGGAGTCCCCGAAGTCGTTGATCCTAAGTGTAGAAGTAGTGACTTAAGAGAGGGTTAGGGTGTCGAGGACCAGTCCAGGGGATGGTGGCCTTCCCGACATATGGAGTTTAGGGTTATATGCACGACCAGGAGTTACAGATGCTCGACGAGGTAGTGTGTCGGAGAGCTGGAAAATCAAATGCACGAGGAGAAGCTGGAGGGACGCTCGTGGTGTCCCCTAGTGACACATGTCGTGTGTAATTAAAGCCTAGGTGCGGCTACGTCTAGGGGCACTTGAGTGCCTAGTGCTGCCTCGCTTCCCGCGTCAGGCTTATAAATAGGGGGAAGACCCTCTCACTTGCACATTCGCTCCTAAAACCTACCGGAATCCTCGCCAAGCTTTATCACCGTCGTCGCCATTTCTGCTGCCGTCGCCGATCTCTGTTGTCCAGATCCTCCTCTCACAAGTAAGTTTCCACCTCCTCTATGTAGTTTTATGTGTTTTCTGGTGAAGCTATGAATTTTCCGGTGTGTCTCATGAAGTTTTGGCCAAGGTATGAAGTTTCCAGCAAGGACGCCAGGAACTTCATGAGGATTCTGAGAAATTCATGAAGATACCGATGAATGTCCTGGGGACCTACGATGAAGGTCCCGAGGAGCTAGGATGAATGCCTCGAGGAGAAAGTGTGTGGCTGTCCTGGGGAGGTTCACTCAGGATCTCCCCGCGCGTATCGGGTCACCTTGATTGGTGAGCTTCGCTGTCGGGGAGGCTCGCCGTGTAGAGTTGTTGTCGGTTTTCTTCTAGGAGTAGCCTTCGCCGAGGAGGGGGCCCATGGTCCCCGGGTTTCCCTGTTTCTCTCTTTGCCTTTTCACTTGATTTGCGGTGGAAGGGCGGATTTGATCTTGGAGTCGAATTCACTGTTTTCCTCTACTTTTCAGGTAAGATGGTTGTAAGGATCGAAGGAATTATCCATGTTTATGATGAGTCTGAGCCCGACACTCCCGTCGAGGTCGAAGGGGCTGCACCCGTTCATACTCTCGTGGACTGGACCGGGCTGGAACCTCTAACTATAGCCTCGCGCTTCGCCGTTGATGATACAAATGCCTTCACGACTGTCGAGGACCGTCTAGAAGGTTTCTCCGTTAGCTGGATGGTATACAAACCCAAAGAAAGACACCACATCTGCTCGAGCTTCTAGGAGATGATGTTTTTTGTACGAGTTTGCATTTTGTGAGGTAAGGATGTGTCTTCCCTTCAGCGATTTCCAGAGGGAGTGTTCCGGTGGCTCCGTCTGGCACCCTCGTAGCTGCACCCAAATGCCATAGCGTTTATGCGGGCATTTGAACTCGTCAGCGAGTATCTTCGTATTAGGGCCACCCTTCCTCTATTCTTCCGTACCTTTCACCTTCAGCGCCAATCCTTCGAGGGCAGGCAAAATCCGGTATCCTTGAAGCAGCCGAGGAAGTTGTTCCAGGCATACCAAGATTTTGTCTTCTTCTTCAAGGACATGTTCTATATCGTGATGCCCGTGTCGTACGTGTCTGTCAATTCGCTGTACAACCTTACAGTCATAGAAAAGAATAGGAATCCCGAGGAGACCTTACTATTGAAATTTCCACTTGAGTGGGTCGAAGACCACTTCCTCCTAGGTACAGACAGCTATATTGTGAGGCATGTCGACCTGGATACTGACGACCGGCTGGCTTACCAAAATATGGTCGAC